GTGTGTGTGTGTGTGTGTGTGTGTGTGTGACTTAAGGACTGTCATCAAGAGAACCTTAACTAAATTCACCCAGAGAGCCTGTTTCCCACCTTCAGTTCTGCAGTTCCAGAATAGATCAGCTCATAACTCCTCAAGACAAACATTCTCTTCCCTCCAAGTAGATAGGGTAAGACAATTTTTCTCTCTAAAAAAATTACTTTGGAGAGTAATTACTTGGGGTAGAATTAAAATTCAGTGTTTACTCACAGACACCAATGTTGTACCTGCTCTGGATTTGTGGGATAACATTACAAGCATGCTTGAGAAAAATCTTGAATGATGTTTACTAAGCACTGGGATGTTTCCTGCTGAATAAACATCCTCATCAACATGTTGAGGCCTAACTAATATTTTGAATACCCGGGACGTTTTCCTATTCCCCAAGAGTTTCTTTTTCTTTTGTCTTGTTAATTTTTTCTTATTTTTCTAATTTTATCCCAAACTTTTTGCCACTTCATTCCATCCCCTTACTTCTTGTCATAACCCCTTCTATTATAACTGTCTCTACAAATTACTCATATAAGCAAATTATTTCAGGAAGAATTCATTTAGAAAAGCATTTATTTTTAAGATTGCCATTCTCTTTGCAGCCTATTAAAAATTATTGTAATTAAGAGTAGGCATTATTTAATTTTGATTAGCGATCTAAAAAGCAATCTGCAGAAATGCAAAATATCCAAAATCAGGACACAGTCTGAAATGTAAGTCATGTTAGCAATATACAATGGTAAAATATTTAAAAGAGGTTTATTATCTTGCTATTTTTAGCCTTTATCTTAATTATTTAAAAACCTATTTTTCAAAGCATTAAATAATCCTTCTTGCAGACTCTTCTTTGGTTTCAAACCTAAATAGGCCTTAACTCCTCTTGCAGATAACAAAAGCTTGAAATTAACTGCTCCCATTTCCACACTCATTCCAACTTTCCTTCTGGCTTCCCAGTATATATCTTAAGTTCCTGATCTTTTTGCCAAACTCTGCCAACTAGATTCTACATTTGTTTTATTTTTATTTTTAACTATCCTTTTCCCAGGGTATAAGGATTATTTTTTTAAAGGAAGAAATATCAAACAAGACAAGCTTTATGGTGGAAAGTGTATCAAACACTGGAATTTAGTACAGGAATTTGTCTGCCAGTTACTGATGGCCAGTTTAAGAACTCAATGACAGTCAAGTGGCTTATGTGACAGGTCTAGAAAGCCCAAGAACCCTCATTTCCAGAGTGAGTTTTTAGTCTTGAGGCTCTGGATGCTTGAGGAACTACAGCAGCCCTCTCTCAGAGCTGTCCTCACCACCATGGAAATAGATCAGCAGAAAATCACAGATTTAGGAGCAAAGAACCCTGGTGCTCCTAATCCCCTCTCTGCCACTTAATGCTCTGTGATCTCCATACAGGTCACAATTTCTGTGAAGCTCAGTTTCTCATCTGCAAAATGTGATTCCTCATATCTAATCCTAAGGCTGTTATAAAAGATTAAGGTCATGCACATATGATCTATGGCTAGCGAGTGGCATTCAATAAACAGAAGTGATCACATTCCCGGAGTCTATGTCACAGAATTTTCTTTCAGCAAATAAAAACTGACTCAAATACCTTTGAGAACACTTTTTTAATGTAATTACATTTCCTATTTTATAAATCAATAATTGATATTTATTGAATATCTCCATGATACCACCGTTGCCTGGGTCCTTAATCCAAGTTCTTCCAAGTATTCACGGTGTGACATTAGCAAATCACTTAATTCTTTGTGCCTTTTCCACATCTGTAAAATTGGTGTAATAATAGTACCTACATCACAGGGACTGAAGACAGAGTAGTGAACAAGACAGACCCAGACTTGCTGGCCATGAGTTTCATGTAATAAAACCAAGAGGCATACTTCCTTTCTCTTTAATTGTTTCAGAAATAATCATAATAAGCCCCATGAGTCCAAAATATCACAAAGTAAATTACTCCTTTTAGACAATAAAAGGCCAGATGTACTCAACGCTAACTATAGTAATCATTTATATATTAATTAAATTAATCTTTACAATAATCCTATGATGTAGGGACATTTGAGAAATGGGATCTCACTATCTTGCCCAATCTGGTCTCAAACTCCAGGCCTCAAGTGATCCTTCTGCCTCAGCCTCTCAAAATGCTGGAATTACAGGCATGAACCTCTGTGCCTGGTCTATGGATACTATTATTACTGTTGTTTTACATATAAGGAAAACAAAGCATCAGGAGTTAAGTGATTTGCTCTCTGCATACTGCGAATACATGCAGAGTTTGGACTATGGACCCAGTCATGTGGCTGCAGAGCCCTCCCTCTTAGCCTTTGTTCTGCATGGCAGGTGGAGTGACGCCAGGAGGCAGACTCATCTTCTTGGCCTTCAGATCGTGTAGGATGTGAAGGTATGCTTTGCCAGATGCCCCAGACACAGTTGGGACAAATGTCCCTGGGTTCTTGGAGAAAGAGGACTGAGACAAAGAATTGCTATCAATTAAGATCTAAAACTCTCCAACAAGGTGGAAAAGGTAGGAAGATGATTCGTCTTCTACTCCTTGCAAAAGGTTTCATGTGTAAAAAGGACTCACTCTGAGATGTACCAGTTTGTTCCAAAAGCTTATATTACCTTCCTTGGGAGAGGGGTTTTATTAACAAAGTGTAGGCTAAATGAATGTTTTGTTACTGGGGATATTACAAAAAGGGTTGGGCACAGTACTCACACCTGTAGTCCTAGCACTTTGGGAAGCCAAGGTAGGAGGATCACTTGGCGCTAGGAATATAAGACCAGTCTGGGCAACATAGGGAGACCCCATCTCTTAAAAAAAAAAAAAATTGAAAAAGTTAGCCAGGCATGGTGGTGCACCTCTGTAGTCTCAACTGCTCAGGAGGCTGAGGCAGGAGGATCACTTGAGTCAAGGAGGTCAAGGCTGCAGTGAATTACAATCACACCACTGAACTTCAGCCTAAGTGACAGAGAGAACCCCTGTCTTCAAATAGATATATATTTCATATACATATGAAAGTAGCAGGGGCTCTTCACTGTGAATTTAATACATAAATTTTTTCTCTGCATTTGAGGAATTGGGGGTTTGGATTGAAAGATCATACAAGAAAGAATACATGATCTCTATCCAAGGAACCTAGCAATAACCCCAAGAAGAATGGCTGTGAAGAGAGGACCACCACCCACACTTTGGGCCACACAAGGTCCCTGTCTTGACTGTCACACCCATGGCCACCTCCATACAGATGGCACCCATTCTATAATGTAATACTGCTGCCCTGGCCATCGATGGCTGATCCCCAACAACACAAAGCTTTCAAGGCTGATCAGCAGTTCCCCTGGGGGCCTGGCAGAAGGCTTTGCCAGGAAGAAAGCTCCACATGAAAGAGCAATTGATAAGCCCAATGGGATTCCCTTTCTTAGAGAGTTTGTACATGGCACATACATAGGAAATTAAAGTAGGCAATGCAAAAGTGAAAACAAAGACACACAGAGAAACCAGAACATAGAGAGGAGTTAGCTATTAGCTACAAGTGCAGATAAAAAAGACAGACTGTGGCTGAGATGCCCTAACCAAGGAGCACCCAAGCTATGATCTCCAAGGTGGGGTTCACAAAATGATCCCTTGTGGGATTAGAAGAAAATATCATAACTCCTATTTACATTGACTTTTTTTAATCAAATTGCTTTTATATTATTTGTGTACATTTAATGTGTGTGTGCGTGTGCGCGCACGCGTGTGTGTGTGTGTGTGTGTGTGTGTGTGTGTGTGAAGGAGCATGCTCAATGTTTTTCGCTGTTGGAAGACAGGACCAAAACCCATTTGGAGGCATCTGCAGAAATGCATAGAAAGCAGTAGGCCCTCATTTGTGCAGAGCCAGCCACTACAATGGTGTTGCATCCTGAAAATGTTCCTGGCCATCTCGGGGCTCAGGGTTGGAGCTGCTAAGAAAGTGCTGTGCCCTCTTCCCTCCCTACATGCACTTAATGTTAAAGCCCCACTAACGAGATGTCCAAATATGTTTCTGGAAATAGCCCAACCAATGCAGTTGAAAAAATAAAATTTTTATTTTTTTTTTTTCTTTGAGACAATGTCTTACTCTGTCACCCAGGCTGTGGTGCAGTGGCACCATCTCAGCTCACTGCAACCTCTACCTCCTGGGTTTGAGGGATTCTCCTGCCTCAGCCTCCCAAGTAGCTGGGATTACAAGCATGTGCCATCATGCTCAGCTAATTTTTATATTTGTATTAAAGATGGGGTTTTGCCATGTTAGCCAGGCTGGTCTCAAAACCCTGACCTCAGGTGATCCACCTGCCTCAGCCTTCCAAAGTGCTAGGATTACAGGCGTGAGCCACCATGCCTGGCCCTGGTGACCAATTCTGATCTATCCTGTCACAAGGGCAACAGCGAAGTAATTTGAGAGACTAAGGAAAGGGGAGATAGGACACAAATCTCAAAGGAAAACCCGAATGCCCACAGGGAGACTGTGTGTGCTGTACTCGAACCCTATCAGGGAAAGAAGGAGTTTGGAATTGAAGCTAGCATTCCATTGACCTGCATTAAAAACTTCATTGTTTCTGTGCTTCACTGTCTTTTGAGTATTCGCCTCTGAAGTGGTCGAGTATTTTAAATGTGAACTTCTAGGGAGTTACACGGTTCAGCTCCCTGGGGACTGTTTATCTTAAACATTTAGGAAACAAAGAAATTTCAATGAGACATCTCTAAAACGAATCAAACTTTCATAGATTTTCATTAAATTTCCTAGCTATTATATCAGTCTAGTAACTGGAATTTTTTTTCAACAGAGTAAAGCTGTAATAAAGAAATGACAAGAAATCCTCTAAGAAACAAAAGTAGGGAAATTTCCAAGCCAAAATATTGAAAGAATTTTAATGATTTTATTCAACATCACTGGGCAAAAATAAAATAACTGCAAATATAAACTAATGAATGGCATTTTACTTCTATTATCCTCTAGATTCCATGATTATTACTGCTGCTGGTCGAATTCATTAGCATGGAAGAATAGATCAATGGATGATTAGCCATCCTTTCCATATGCGTTTCCATGTGAAAACTTAGCTATGTTTCCTCATAACATTTTTTCTTGCAAAAGAAAAAAATATTGTTGCAAATAACTTTAGCAGTATTCTTTGGCCTATGGAGAACATCTGTCTGTAGATTCCACTTCTCTCAACTATAAAAAATGCCTTGAGATTATATTGCTATTAATATTACAGGATTCAGGATACCTTTGCTCCAAAACTCTCATCCAAACTCAAAAGGTTTGGTCAGTTTGCTGCCAAATACCTCTCCACTGTTTATGTGTCCCATCCCATTCAACAAGGCTATGTTTGTTCTAGGCACAATTCTTGGCCTTTGTGACAAACACAAAACAAAATTAATCATGGTCTCTGGGCTGAAGGAGCTTGCACTCTAGCAGGGAAGATACAACATTCACCTAAATGACTGTAACACAAGATCAAATGTACTATAGGCTGCAAACACATGTACTATAGGCTGCATAAATAAAATGTGGATGTTGGAAAAGGCGTGCTCACTTCCAGTGGGGGCATCTGGAGATTTACAGGTAGTAAAGGATAGGTCTGATTTAGGTAGCCAAAGAGGGTGGAGAAGGGAAGTGGAAAGAAGAGGGGAACAGAAAAAAGTGGGGACGTAGGAGACTTAAAAGAATCACACCTTTCAAGACTGGGAATGGAAAAACGTGGAGTCCAGTTAGGGAACACTGACTGATGCTACAGATCACTCTAAAGGAATCAGAGACAAGTAAAGGACTGAGTCACACAGAGAGATGGGCTGGTTGGTTAAAAGGCTCTGATTAAACTAAGCTTCTTTTGCCTGATGCCTATTTTCTTCTTCCAGCTTTGTTTGACCCCACGCCACTGTAGTGCACTCAAAAGATGCTGGTTTTGTCTGTTTACCTGACTCTCTTCTTGGTCATGGAGCAGGTCCCGGAGGGCAGGGCTGGTGTCATTTTCCTCTTTGTAGTCACAAAACCTGACATACTTCTTGGCACAGGGATGTCTGTAGAATGAATGAATGCCATGCTTTTGGAACCAATCTCTGTATAGTAGGTTGTCTGTTTGTGGTCAAGATTTTGCCACTGGTGATAATGTCTAAGTGATTAACTGAGGAGTATAAACAGGACAGCTACTCAGCAACTGGGTCAGAGTCTACCTCAGCTCCTTCCTCAGTCTGACCACTGTGTGCAGGTGCTTACCTGACCAACATGTATTACCCTGCCTTGTAAAATAATCATAAGAGTAGAGTCACCTTTTGGTAGGCACAGGGGATTTGTTCCAGTACCCCCCAAGACTCCACAATCTGTAGGTGCTCAAGTCCCTGATATAAAATGACTTTGTTTTTGCATATAACCCTTGCACATCCTCCTGTATAATTTAAATCATCTCTAGATTGCTTATAATACCTAATCCAATGTAAGTGCTTTGTAAATAGTGGTTAAATTGTATTGCTTAGTGAATAATGATAAGGGGGGAAAAGTCTGTACTTGTTCAATACAGATGCAACCATGCTTTTTTTCTTCTATCAAATATTTTTGATCAGCAGCTGGTTGAACCCACTAATGCAGAACCCAAGGAGGGCTGACAGTCTTCAGCTGTGAGGGTTGCTGTGGGAATTAAATGAACTAATGTACACTATACCCTTAGCACATTACCTGGCATGTAGTAAGTGCTTCATTTGTATAAGTTCTATTATTATTTAACATTAAATACAGGTTGTCAATGACACCTGGGAGGCTGCTCAAGATCTCAGCATGACACTGACTTCATGTTCAAAGCACAGGGCTGAGTAATAATTCTTTGCTTTATTTTGGAACCTAAGATCGTACCAACAGGATTCCCTTTCTGGTGGGCATATTTTTAATTTTTTTTTTGTTTGGGCATAGCAGGCATACAGGAGAATGCAAAAACACTCAAATATGCAGTGCGATGTATAATTATATAACAAATATGCTTAAAATATTGTTATCTCCTCTGAAGCTCCCCTTATCTCTCTAGTGGAAATTCTCTCTCTCTCTCTGTCTCTCTCTCTCTCTCTCTCTCTCTCCAGGAAACTGCCACCCTGATTCTTACAGCAGTCCTATTCTAGTTCTCTCAGATTTTCTTTATAGTTGTATCACCTCTAAGGTATGATTTCTTCTGGTTTTCGATTTTATATCAATGAAAAATATACTGTACACATTCTTTTGTGCCTTGCTTTTTTTTTTTTTGATCTATATTGTGTTTGTAAAATTCTTCCAAAAAAAAAGACTCTGGTTTATCCTTTTTTATTGTAAGAATTTCAATGTGCTAATATGTGCTAACGTATGTAAAATTTATTCATTCACTTAATGTTGATGGCCACTTTAGCTGAAGAATATTTGGTTCACTTCTCATTTAGAAATCACATCAAAATTCTGCTTGAAACATTCTTATAGATATCTTTGGGTAGAAAAATATTTCCTTTCTCTAAGGATATAACCAATAGAGAGATTGTTATATCGTAAGATATGAGTAGCTCCAATTTTATTAGATAATGCAAACTGTTTTCCAAACTGAATATACTAATTTCTATGCCTACCAGCAGTATATGAGAGAGCTCATTACTCCGTGTCCCAGCTAACATGTGTTATGGACATTTTTTTTTTTTTTTTTTTTTTGCCAATCAGGGATCTCAATATAATTTTGCTTGTATTTCCTGATTATTAATGATGTTGACCATCTTTGCATATTCTTATTGGTTGTTTGGATTTTCTTTTTGTGAAGTGCTTGTTCAAGGGTTTTGTTCATTTTTCAGTTGGGTTATCTTTTTCTAATTGGTCTATGGATACAAGACTTCATTAATCATATGTTGCAAATATCTCTTTCTGTGGCTTGTATTTTCACAGTCTTTCTGGTGTCTTTTTATGAGTTTACTTAAGTTCAAGGTAGTTACAATCCTTTGTTTTTATATATTTTGAAACCCTGCCCAATTTCATAAAGATAGTTACAATCACGAACATAACTTTTTTTTTCTTTTCACATTTAACCCACTTGCAGGAAGAGGTTGAGTTTTATACTTTTCTAGGTTTGCTCAAGCCAGTTCTGAGGCTATTTTTGGGACAATTCATTGATAATTGAGTACAAGGACATATGAAAACATGCTTCTCATAGATAAGATTTTATGAACAAAAATCATTGGATACAATTCTTAGTCATCATTCTGGTTTTTAAATATATATACATGTATATGTATATAATATTTATATTATATTTATATACGTTATTTATAGAGAAAGAGTGTGTGTATTTGTTAAGAATCCAACTGACCAAGAACTCTAAAAAGCAGCATAATAGTACTGTTGACCCAAGATTCTTCAAGCCTGACACTAGATTTCAAAGTGATGCTGTTTAAGTGTGCCAATCCGCCTAGCTCTTGAATTCCTCAGAAAATGCATGCTGCATTATAGTTGATTTTCAAGAGAGATATCTGTGCAAGATATCTGAGCAGCCATTAAATGCAGCTTTGGAATAATTGGCCTTCCTCCATTGTTCAGTTCATAATAGCTGCAATAGCTCATACTGCTAAAATAGATCCAATTATGTAGAACAATATTAAAGAAACAGCAAGCACTTCCTCAGCTAGCATACCTGGCCTAAAAAGTAAGCAAGGAAATTTTTTCTTTTCATCTATTACCATGCATAAATTAAAGTTCCAATAAAATACATAAACCCAGAAATAAAAATACAGCAAAAAGCTCTCACTTAGCACAGGTTTACATAATACTAAAAACTACAAAAGTTAAAATACAATGGGAGAATGTAAGGCTATAAAAATGTAGGTTTGATTGGTCTTATTAATCCTAGAACTTTGGCACAATATTTATCACCATATAAATTTATATTTCAGAAAAAAGTGTAGTACATATTTATATACATATACCTAATACAAATGCATACAATTTTTAATAAAAACCCATGAACAAATCAAATTAGTACATTTGATGTGTATTTCATCTCCTATAAAATACATATTATCTGGGATAAAGGCTGATTAAAATGTAGTAAATGTTAGCATTAACACATTTTGTAAATTAATTATTTCGAAGTAAGGCAAGCAAGTTTCTTTTTCCCATTTGCTCAATTTTAGAATTGAGGACTTCAGGGACTTCAAACCCTTTGAGGACTTCTAAGGGTTTTGACCACTGGTGGTGACAGGGAAACACATGGGTGATACAGTGAGTCCCTTTTTTATCCTCTATTTCCCTGCAGAAAGTAGAAAGAAAGGTCAGGTCTGCACATAGATGTGAAAATAGAGTCTTGAGCTCAAAAGGCTAAAGTAAGAGTCCTCACATCTCATGAGGTCTGAAACTAAAACTTCCTGGGGCCTTTTTTTTCAGGGAAGAAGCTAGTAACTGTCCCCTTACAGGAATGTAAAAAGGATGAATTAAGCTAATGTGGGTAAAAGTGATCATTTCTTCTCCCTTTATAGGCCTTTCAAAGTTTTGTCAAATAGGGGAAGCAGCTACTTTCACAAAGCCAGCAACCACTTGGCAGGTTTAAGTTGAAAATTAACATACCAGTATATATTCTACAAAGTTAAGAGTGGTTGTCAAATAGAGGATTCCTTGAGTTAATTACACGCGACATCTTCAACAAGCATGCACAAATGGCAATTTGTAGTCAATTGTAATCTCAGATCAAACTATTTTAGCATCAAAATATGACTTATTATGAATTAATCTTCTCAGTTGGGGTTTTCTTCCTTGTAGAAATATTTGCTTATGAGTTATCTGATCACTCATATGCTCTAACAATCAAAGAGTACTTTTTGCAACTACCAATACAAAATAGGCTAGCTTGTTCCATAAAAGGTATTGTTTTAGTCATGAAGCTCATAATATGGGGAAAATTATAATATAAATTATGTTGTCAAGTCATATTTTTCATGTCATTACTCTTTGTTTTATGTAATAACAGAAACAAAATGAAACTAATAGTTTTGGAGGGCAGTTCTCATGGGAGTTCGGAATTCTGGTTTGTATCACTTCTGAGTGTACCAGTTTTTGTTTACTGGAAAATGGAAAACCACCTGACTACTTTGAGAGGATATGATGAAGAAAGAGTGGGAGAGGGGAACATTATACACTGGGGCTTTTCAGGGGGGACAAGAAGAGGGATGGCATTAGGAGAAATACTTAATGTAGATGACAGGGTGATGGGTACAGCAAACCACCATGGCACATGTATACCTATGTAACAAACCTGCACATTCTACACATGTATCCCAGAACTTAGTTGTAATTTCTTTTAAAAAGTAAAATTTTTTAAAAAAGAGAAAGTTGGAATAGGAGGAGAGAAGTATAACGAACAAAAGCATTAACGTCAAGCTGACTTGGGTTTGAATTCCAGCTCTCTACTCACCAGTTCAACGATGGTGTTGAATTTAAACTGTGCAGACCTTAATTTTTTCATCTGTAAGAAGGAGTTAATATCTGAATCATAGGATTATTACGAAGATTAGGTAGAACAATCGGTGTCTTAACACAATTTCTCACATATAGGACGTGATTAACAATGTGCATCTCTTTTTCTCTTCTAAACCCTCTCCCTTTCCATATAAATATAGACACCATGCCCAGATTATTTTAACTCTTTGCCAGATACTGTCCTAAATATTTTACAAATAGTAACTTATTTCTCATAACAACCTGTGAAAAGTGCTGTTTTAATCTCTCCTGATAGATGAAGAAACTGAGGCATGAAGAGTTAGCAACTTGCCCAATGGACACAGCAGGTAAATGGTGGGCTGGGTTCAAGCTCTGGGCATCCACGTAAGTCTTATGTCTGCTTTCATAGCAACAAAAGAAAAAGCTCAGGCTGAGTGCAGTGGCTCACACCTGTAATCCCAACACTTTGAGAGGCCACAGAAGAAAGATTGTTTGAGGCCAGGGGTTCAAGACTTCAGTGAGCTAGCCTGGCAACATAGCAATATCCTGTCTCTAGAAAAAAATTATTTTAATTATCCGGGCATGGTTACTTATA